CCGTCAAGCTAAGACCGTTCAATGTTGGAACACCTTCCATATCACTCTACAGGCTCCGCAATGCGAGAAACGGGAAGAGGATGTTTGGTTGTGGGAACGGAAGCCAGGTGCCGTTTGAAATGCCATCATCCATCCGTTCGTGCTTCTACTTCAGGGCTGGACTCTGGTGAAATGACCAGACCTCGTGGAGCTCCGTGCGGGAGTGTTCGTGGAGATGTTGCGGTGCAGGAGGAGGGAAGGTGGCAGAACTGGCCTCGGGGGAACACCTGCTCCGGATCCGCCTCAACACCAGCGATGCAGGAGGCCGGTTGCCATGGCGACGGGGACGAGCACGTTGAGCGCGCTGGCCTGCGTCTGGACGCCGGTTCCCGCCGGAGCGGTGGTGGCGTTCACCGGTCCGCCGGACGCGTTCGCCTTCACAGTCTGGTTTCCCGCGGTGGAGTTGCTCGGGGAGATTGTGCTCTGAGATAAAACCTGAGGAGAGAAAAGCGCGATTATCACATGAGTCTATGCAAACGAAAGGACTCAGCTGGATTCTTTGTTTTTTAATCGCCCACATTTGCATGTTACTTTTAATGCATAACTGGACCTCTTAAAATACCTGCGCAGGTGCGTTTGCATGGAAACATCTTTTAATATCATTGACATACCTTTATAGGCCTAGTTTTAATTTATATTTTGAATTCGTTTTTTTTTTTTTTTTTCCCCGTTATTATTCGTTTTTTAATTAGTGCTGTCGAACGATTAATCGCGTCCAAAATAAAAGTTTTTGTTTACATTATATATGTGTGTGTACTGTGTATATTTATTATATATATATATATATACACACACACACATACAGCATATATTTAAAAAATATTTACATGTATATATTTATATTTATATAAATATATTTAATATACAAATATAACATATATCTTTCTTAAATATATACATGCATGTGTGTGTATTTATATATACATAATAAATATACACAGTACACACACACATATATAATGTAAACAAAAACTTTTATTTTGGATGCGATTAATCGCGATTAATCGTTCGACAGCACTATTTTTAATATGTCTATAGGCCTATAGTTTTTAATTTTTATTTCAGTTTTACTTCAAGTTCCTATTTTTGGGGTTTTCAAAAGAAAATGAGAAATGCTGCCTAGGTTTATATATTTTATTTCATTTTAGGTAACGTTTATTGTATTTAAACCAAAAATGTTTTTATGGATTTGGTTTTAATTAACTATAATAACCCTGCTCAGAACTTTGGCTAACGTTCTGGCAAAGTTCCCTCAAAGTCAGTAGCATTAACATAATGTTCGTTCATACACAAAAACGTGATTTATACATCATCAACGGAACATTTTTCTGAAACGTTCAACGTTTGTCTAACGTTTTTCAAATGTCGGTTCTTGTTTCAGAACGTCCAGAACATTTAAAAAGGAAGTTCCCATAATGTTTGCAAAATGATCAAATGGAATGTTCCCTTAACGTTTGTATGTAATAGAAAAAAATGGTTTAAAAACATTAAAAAACTAGACATTTTGAACATTCAGAAATAACATTTTCATAATTCCTTGGGAACGTTAGCAAAACGTTCTTAGAAATCATAAGAAACTCAGATTTAAGAGCCTATATCTTCATCAGCTCTCCAAAATTACGCATGGAAGTTGTCCATGGTTTCTGCATCAGGTGCATATAACTGTTACTGTATATAACCGTATCTGAAGGTCCGGTGAGCGCCGAGACGCGCCGGTGTTTCGGGTTCTCACCCGGATCGGGTTTCTGACACAGAACGGTCTCACAGAAACTCAAGCCCCGGGACAGACATCGATACACTTTTAATGATTCATTCTCCAAAAACCACGCAAGCACTGCACTCGAGCTGTTAACAAAACGCCAACACTCTGCACTTTCCTTTCATTTTAAAGCAGACGTAGCTTATTTATGTTCATTCTCCTATAGTTTGGACGCATTAAAGCTCAACATCTACAGTATTTTAAAAGAGTCTAAAACTTAAATTCAAGATTAAATATGTGTGGAATAGTCAACATATGAAGTCATACCTGAGTGATTAAGCAGAAAGCGCAGAAAGCGCAGAAAACGACTCCGGCGGGGGTCAGCTGAGCCATCCTGGTGATGAAGAGGAGGAGGAGGAGGAGGAGGATGATGAAGAGTGAGGCTGATGGACACACGCAGGTGGGTTCGTCTAAAGGGAGACGCCGGCTGCTGCCGGAGCTTTTATACTGGGACTGATGAGCCGTTACGTCACGTTACTGCATCTCTATCAACTCCATCACAGTCCTGTAAACATAACAAATAAATAATTCAAACCAAAAACATCGCCACGTGCAAAAAAAATAGAACACACACGGTATTGATACAAATACTTCAGCTAAAATAATGTTTTTTTAAATAATGTCGTCACCCCCACGTAATGAAGTATGATGTTCTTTTGCGTATTCCTTTGCTTTATGTAAAAACAGCTTGTATTTGTTGGGATAATGTGTTCCCAGTTAAATATCCGGCGGTTAAAAAAATAATGACTCCATATGATTAATATTTAATATCTAACACTGTAGGAGAAGAAAAAAAAAGCACCGTCAAATAGTTAATAATTGATATCAAGCTTGATTGCGCGCCAGCTTTGACTTGCGTGACCTCTAGCGGCCGCGTGCGTTACTGCATCTCTATCAACTCCATCACAGTCCTGTAAACATAACAAATAAATAATTCAAACCAAAAACATCGCCACGTGCAAAAAAAATAGAACACACACGGTATTGATACAAATACTTCAGCTAAAATAATGTTTTTTTAAATAATGTCTAAGTTAATACTTGTTCAAAACAATCACTTTAGCAAAGTTTGTACTATTTTCTGCTTATTTTGAAAAATAAAAGAATATTTTTTTCAATAAATATACTGTCAATAAAATGTTAATATAAAAAAATATATTTAAAAATACAGAAACAAAATAATTTGAATAAGTAAAGATTCTGAAAGTATTGAAGGAGATCCAATAATAACTGAAAATGTATTTACAGTAGTAACAAAAAATGATATTTTATTATATGATAATGTTTTTAAATATGATGGTTTCATTCTAAACATGGCGATTATCTCTAATATGGACACCCAACATAATATATGATATTTACCGTCTGAATCTAACCATGTCAACAAATGGAAAAGTCAGCCTTCTATTAATTATTATGTTAATTACTGCGCTTTTTACCCCAAACACCATACTTTTACATATTCTTTCGTTATTTAAAAACTGTTGCTTTAATTATCTTAAACAAAACTGAAAATCATAAAGAAGACCTTTGTCTCAAAATATATGCATTAATTTTAGTAAAACTCTCATTTGCTACTTAAATCTACAACATTTAAAAAAAATAATAACATAAAATATTTAGATCAAGTAAGCACAGAATGGACTTTGCGCCGCTGCGCGCGATGCGTCAAATATACACGTGCATCTTGAAAAGCGGATGTTTTGGAAAGCGCTGCGCCAGTGCATGAATATTATAATCATTCAAGATGAAGCGTACAGTCACAGAGCTTCATCTCCCTCTAGTGGCCAGAAGCAGCATCTTCGACAGCACTATAAAAGTTGATCTTATGCTGAACAGGAACACACTACAAACGCAATGGAGTTCTGTTTCATGCAGGAGGTGTTTGCTGTGTTTCAGAGCGTGGACAGAGTGGAGAGGCTCTGGTTTCTGCTGTTGAGCTGAGAGAGAGAGAGAGAGAGAGAGCAGGGGGTTTCAGGAGGCAGACTGCAGGCCAGCGAGGATCAGATGACACCCGCAGGCCACGAAACCTGATCCGGGGCCCTGAACCGGGGCTCTCCGTTTACACGAGCGCGCTTATTCTTCGAAACACTGAGCAGAGAGTCCCTGTGTGTTTGAGAGAGAGAACGCGATTGAGAAAGAGATTTTACTTACTACTCACATAACAACCATGGCATTACCATGTTTTTGGACAATAGTGAAATCATGCTAGTGTAGTGTAGATGAAAAGTTCCCAGCAAACACAAATCGTTTTTTTGTTTTTTACAACTTTTATGGTAATGTTGCTGCACGACGTTTTATAAACCACACCTGAAATTTAAAAAATAATATTATTATTATGTGAATATTATTATTAATATAATATCATTAAATGAAAAAAATAATAATATTATGAATAGTAATGATGTAACCAAAATTAATAGATGTTAATGGAAGTTCCATGGTGTTCTTTAAATTACTACTACTAATTTCAGTATCTTAGTATATATTATAGTATATATTATAAGTAGCATGATTTTACTACCAGCAGTTTTTGGAAAAACTTAACACTAAAGCTGTTTTGTTTTGTTTTGTTCGTTTTTTTTAATAAGCTATATAAATAAATAAATAAATAAATAGTGCACAATACTTAAAAATACTTTATACTAAAGCTGTTTTGTTTTGTTCGTTTTTTTATTTTTATAAATAAATAAATAGTGAACAACACTTAAAAATACTTTATACTAAAGCTGTTTTGTTCGTTTAAAAAAAAAAAAAGAAATAGTGCACAATACTTACAAATACTTTATACTAAAGCTGTTAATAATAATTAATAATGCATAAATAAATATATTGTTTGTAGTAACCAAATGGCGTGACGCGACTCGTCACGTGATCTAAAGATGGCGGCGCCGGCGGGGCGGGTAGCCTCTCTGTGTAGAATAACACAGATTTTCTAGAAGACTAATGTATTGGACGTCTTCATCTTACAGCGAGGGTGCGTCATTTTAATAATGTTTCTCAAAAGTGCTGTTCACTTATAATAAATAATACGTTTACTTTTAGACGCTGCACATTTTAAGTCACGTGACAAAAAAATCTATATATTTTTTTTTACTACAGTAAAAGTGTTTATAACAAATGCTGCGGTAGTTTGAGGGAAGCTATGGCTCCGCCGGGCTCAAGCCTCACATTCCAGCCGGAACGGCTCCGGATCCGGAGGAGGAGGAGGAGGAGGAGGAGGCGGCGGGTGTCGGGTTTCACCTCCTCCCTGATCTCCTGCGCTCCTCTCATTGTTCCCGCGCCGCGTCAGATTCGCGTGACAGCGTCGTCCCGCGCGCCGCTCCGCGAGTCATGCTCGAGATGGAAACGGGGCGACCGGCGGAGAACAAGCGCAGCCGAAAACCTGCTCACCCCGTGCGGAGAGACGTGCGCCAGGAGATGAAGGTGAGAGAGAGAGCCTGCTGCTTTACCCGCGGAACCGCTGTAACTACTCGCTCTGAAAGCCTTGCTGGTTCAGTTAGTCGAGAAGCCTGATGGGAACGCAGGGTAACTAGCATCCTGATATGCTGCCCACACTCGATACATGTTCTGTTATGTATCATAATTCGTTTTTAAAAAAGATAAAATGTGTGTTATAAAAAAAATACATTTTACTAAAATAAAAATTAAATGTACTGTAAACTATTTAAAATGTCATAAAATATTTTATATAAAATATGACATTTAAAATATATTTAATATAAAAAATATGTAATATTTTTTACAAACATTAAAACATATTTCATAAGAAATGCTGTGTACATGGTGTAATTTGTTAATATTTAATATAAAAATTAGGTATTTAATAAAAAATATATGATATAGAAATCATATATACGTTAAAAATAATATATTTAATATAAAACATGAAAAAATATTTAAAGATAAACTATTTAATATAAAACAGCAATTACATAAACACAGGAAAAATAAATATTTTATTTATTTGAAAAATAAATATTTAATATAAACTATTAAAAAGTACATATTTAATAAAAATAAAATATGAAATTTAAAAATATGAAAAATGAAATATATTTAATATTACATTTTTAAAAAATGAAACGTATTTAATAAAAATATGAAAAATAAAATATTTTAAATATGAAGATATTTTAAAAATATATATTTAATACAAAATACTAAAAGACATGAATTTAATATGTCTGAATCACTCAGTTGCATTAACCAAAGTCATTTTTAAAGGGCAGATCATGTAGGATTAAATCAGCCGCACATTCACTGCAGTTCAGCAGCTCGCGTCAAATGATTCCCACAGTGCTGTCTGCAAGGTTCAGTATGTATTGAATCACAGCCACGCGCTCCGCTGAGCTGGTTTTCTCCAGATGTGACCGTAGCTCACGTCTGCTCACACGGCCACCGATGCACGACTGACACGGCGACCTTATTAAATCTGGCTTTTATTCCCGTTTGATATCTGACACGGCGTGTTTATAAGCGCCGCTCTCTGAGAGTCTCTCCATCTCTTTCCACTGGGAGTGTAGAGTTACAACTTAACTCATTTTAATCCAAACACATGAAACCGAAGCCGAGTCTGATGCAAGCGGCCCCGGGGCCGAGGAAGGGGTCGCGGCGGGCTTGGGCCCGTCACTCTCGCCGAACAGAACTGCCGAGAAGAAACAGAAACAACATTGTGGGAAGAGAGCGGAGGGGGTGCGCGGAAGAGCCGCTGATGTCATTAGTCTCGGGGCCGATGGAGAGGAGGGGGGTCTGGGATCGAGTGACGGAAAGCGCTCGGCTCCTGTTTTTGCAGGAAATGATGGCGGATCGGTTTTCCGAGCAACGTTTTGATGGCTGTAATCGCTCTCAGATGAAGCACACACATGATGATGATGATGAGCGTCTCATTCTAACATCAGTTTTTCCTAGAAGTGCTTCTCCTGCTTATTATTTTACACTGTGTGTGCCAAAATATTTATCATGCAAAACTAATTTGCATGTAACATTACATGCACATATGTGTCCCTGCAGCACAAAAGCAGTGTTAAGTCGCTGGGGTATATTTGTAGCAATAGCCAACAATACATTGTATGGGTCAAAATTATACATTTCTCTTTTATGCCAAAAATCATTAGGATATTAAGTAAAGATCATGTTCCATGAAGATATTTTGTAAATGTCCTACCGTAAATATATCAAAACTTAATGTTTGATTAGTAATATGCATTGCTAAGAACTTCATTTGAACAACTTTAAAGATGATTTTCTCAATATTTAGATTTTTTTGCACCCTCAGATTCCAGATTTTCAAATAGTTGTATCTCGACCAAATATTGTCCTATCCTAACAAACCATACATCAATGCAAAGCTTTCAGATATTGCAAATCTCAATATTATATATAAAAAAGAAAAATTTACCCTTAAGACTGGTTTTGTGATCCAGGGTCACACACACACACACACACACATAATATTAACAAATATAATGTTTAATGTAAAAAAATAATATTAAAATTTGATTCTTTAATAATAAAATAAAAAGTAATTAATAATAGACATATTTAAAATATAAAATATACAAAATAAAATATTTTATATATAAACACGAACAATAAAATATTTTGAACATATATTTTAAGAAATTTTGAAATAAAACATTAAAAATATTTCGTAAAATATATTTAAAATACAATATTTAATCAAATGTAATAAAAGCAATTTAAAAATTAACATTTAATAAAAATTAAACATTTAATACTAAAATATTAAAAAATCATACCAAGTATTTTTTATTAATATTTATATTTATTTTTTAAAATTATATCAACATTTTAAAGTTTTAGTGTTTTTTGTCATTTTTATTAATTTTGGTTTTTAGAAATAGGTATTTCTTTTATTATTATTTTTTTGTTGTTGTTGTAGTTATTTTAGTGAATAAGTAAATTTATGAACTTGAGAAAAATGAGTTGAAAACACACACACACACACAAACATACACACACACACACACA